CTCTCCATTCCTCCTTTCTCCCCAAAGCTGGTGTCTGCGCCTTTATTCACTAACCATTCACCGCCTCCAGGATCCCAAATCTTGACTTTTTCAGTCGTGAATTTCAGCTGTTGTGGCTGAAACTCCGACTTCCTTCCTTTAATCATTACCTTTGTGTTCTTTATCGTTCCCCCAATAGCGGCGATCCCACCATCTTTGATTTTCCAACTTCCAATATTGAACATTTGTTGGCAACCGACCCCAACTGCCACATTACCATCTTGGGAGATTTTAACGTTCANTACCCATTGACCTTCCAGGCATGATAAGATCTCCTGGCTTTATAAAGCCATTCTGTGTAGCTCGTTGGGTCACAAAGGTGCACAAGCCATCAAGGTGCAGTCTCGTCATGACGGTATTTGATCTATGGGACAAGTAACTAGACCACCGTCGTCTGAGGTCCGACTGACGTCATATGCATGTATATTGACAAACTCTTAACAGAACTCTCTCGTTCTAGCGTGTTCAAAACACGTTGTTGATCCAGTAGCCGACTCTGTGCATATCCCTGACAAGAAGAGACTGGGTTCCACAGCTATCCTAAAGAGCGGTCACTGCGAATCCGTGGGAAATATGATGTTTTGCTTTGTGACTGATCACACCGCGCAATAAATTTTCCAAAGAATAAAGCACTATCTTTTCGACAACTTTCACTTTACAGTAAGATAGTTATACATTACAGCGAGTTGTACACAAAGTAAATGAGAATATGATTTCCAGGGATTAGACTTCATTGGATGTAGGCGAGATACTGAACCTCTATGGTCAACTCACCGAGTACACAATCTTGCTGTGCATGCATACCTTTTCAAACGTTTTGACCTGACAAGAAATGACAACGAGAACGCCACTGCTCTCCATTAGTTGCTACATCCATCAATACCTGCAACCAACCAGTTGCAGTCTTATGGATCCCAACCTGGAGTTAGTTGTCTGTAAGCTAGGGCATCCTAGAGAAGCCTTCTTGAGGTTGATATCAGTCAATCAGCTTACGCAGAGTAGTGAGTTTTTCGAAGAATTACATACTATTGCGGGGCAGGTTTCTGTCTCTTATTTGACATTTTCCAATCATCAGCAGTGATAATTGTTCTCCAAATACGCTCCCACGTAGCCGTAATGTGACCTTTTCTTTGAATTCCTTCGATCCATAAACTGTTTTTCGTTTGAGACCTGATTGTTTTCGGGAGCTGTTTGTAACATTAAGCGGTTTCGTCAACGTAGAATGTGACTGATTTAACTGGCTATCCTTCGGACTTCACCTTTACGCACAATCCTCAGGTAATCCATTCATTCACACACTCAAAAGCACTAGACTCGAGTTTCGCTCTTATTAAAGCTCATCAGTAGTGCATATCCACCGTCCCGTCCGGGATTTGAATTCCGGACCCATTGCATGGAAGGCGTGTGCATTACCACTGTGTCAACCAGCTCACGTCATGGCCTAACCGAATCGCATATTCATAATTGTTCAGGTGTCGTCTTCAGTGATAGTCAGCCAGTTCATTTGGCCCGACAGCAACAAAGGGAGACAGATGACAATCTGTTAACTCCAATCGAAAGCCTCCCACCTAGTCAAGAATTCCATGCAGGTTACGGGCTGACTTGCCACAAACCTACCAGGCTCCATTACTTATTCGCAATTAACTCACAATAACCTGCGACGTTATGATAAAGAATTTTTGTGCTAATCCATTAGCCTTCTTACAAACGATGCTGTCCACTATGGGGAACGCAGTGCTTTCCCCTCATAGCGTTAGACCACGACAAAATCGCCTCGAACTTTTCGTTGGTTTTCGAATGGAAGCTTTTCTGAAATGCACTAGTGTTGACAGAGTCCCCGATAGTCGCCTTTTTGGATACACAATCGTAGACAGTTTTCCGTGAAACACCAAGTGATTTCGCTACACAGCTCTCAGTTTCACCTAACTGACTCAATGTTTTCAACACATTTTGCTTCTCTTTGAAAGACAGGCGCTTTCATACTGTCCCGTCAAATGACACCATGTTGAACAGCCATCCTCACATGAGTTATCCAATCATTGAATAGTGTCATATGTGCCACAATAGGTGGAAATTTATTAGCCGGGTCTGTCATCGCATGCTAGTTGGTCAATAGCCAACTCGTAGTTAGGTCCACGATCAAATGAGTAATTATAAGGAAGTGCGAATTACTGAAGGGGTGACATCGCACGGTCAGGATCTACGTTTCGACATATATGACCTCTAAGTAGCTCTGATCATCATTGTATACTGTGATACAATAATCAGAGCTACTTAGAGGTACACTTTCCTGGCCATTAAAAAATTGCGGTCTGTTGGAAAAAACAACGTCTAGTTGTGCATCGAGTAGGGTAGGAAAATATACCAGATTTTGGAAACCAAGTGTGGTGAGAAAAGTTACGTCTTGCGTATTAAAATCACCAACACAATACTATACAGGAAGTCACTCGTT